CCGCCAAGAATCTAAGCTAACCTAATCTATCCTAGCTAAGCTAGGTGTGTGCGTTTTGCATAATGAAAAGTAGCAGCGTACAAGTGCATGCTCGGAGTCCACTCTTGTATCCCAGAAGGAGTGGCACGCAGTGCTCTACTCTCACTATCGATAACTGACGGCGATGTGGTCTACTTGGATTCGGGACTAGTTCGTTGGTGGGCACCACGTGCTCAACCGATTTCCGATGTTTCGGAAATTGGTATTGCAAAGGAACAGTCTGTGATGGGCACACATCCGAAGTAGACTTTTTCCGTTGTCCGTGCGTCTCGTATCCATCCCAAGATGACCACCCTGTCGGGTTTCAGCAGCGCTTAGTTTACCGACCTGGGAGTTCATGTCATCACCAACCACAATGATGTCTAAGCCTTTAGCCCGTTGTAAAAGAGCACCTGAAGCGTCATAGAAATTCTTTGGCAGATTCATAGCTGTAATCATTTGGATCGTAAGCAAACAATAAACAGGGTGTGATGGACTCCATTTTCTCCAGATTCTGTTGCAGACTTTGCCAAACGATACACACAGAGACGACTATCAACGAGTGTCCAATCAAGTGGAGACGCTTATGCTTGGTCACTCAGTTCCGTACCCATGCCGACATATCCAGTTACAGCGGCCTGTGCTTCACTAAACAGACCGATGGGCAGCCACTTCGAATACAGTAATCGAATCTTTTATCCTCGTTTCTGACAGGCTTCATACATAGGCAACCCAGCGTACGAGCAAGATCCACCTGTTGTCACGCTTGCTTCAGTGTGCGAACACTAAAGGCAGCTAAGTAGACATGTCTTCGGGGTTTGAAAACAGAATTTAAAATGTTTAGGGTTGGTACTGAAGTCGGACGTACAGAAGCTGCAGCTGAGTGATGCATGGTGAACAAGGCGATCACTCCTGGTGCTAGGACCTGTTGAGGGAGTATTCAACTTGGGGTGGGATAGAGAAGAAGAGGGAAAACTTGAAAGTATAAGAAAGGAGGCGTCAGCAGTAGGGTTTCTTTAACCCGCCCTGCTGTATGCTGCAAGTAAGGAGACTTGACTGGTGATTCCACGCGACGGCGAATGTGGCATGAGATTATTTTCAGTTGTCATTGTTGTACGTTGGCTGTACGTGAGATACTGCCAGAGTTAAATAGGAGGACAATTGAGGAGCTAGACCAAAACCTTTGGCTAGAAAGCCTGACCACAAGACAGCTGTGCTTGGCTGGAGATGCAACTGCATTATCATTTTTATGGAACAAGTCGCCACACGTGTTTCAACCCCGCCCTGTGTGGCCAGGAGACTGTGTTGGTCAGTCCTCTAACCATTGACTAATCTGGTGTGAGAGACCCAATGGGTGTCGCACGCACACCACCCAGCATAAATGAATGGGTCGCCGAGGTACATAAACCGCCACACCACGGTAAGATCCAGTCTCTTCGTGACGGGTTCGACACCCGGTCGGCCATGTTATCCAAACGGTAAGATCCAGTCTCTTCGTGACGGGTTCGACACCCGGTCGGCCCGCAATGTTATCCAAGGGACGCTGAAGTGCAAATGATGCCAACTTCCAACATATGTCGAACTACGACGCATTTGAACTGTGCATCATCAGTAGTATGGCATCACAGCAGATTTCTGGTCTGAAGACAGGTTGCAAAAAAGTAACGGTTGCTTAACTCTTGTGGTCGTAGTTCCACAACTGAAGAAAGTACTAGGTTGTTCGGTTTGTACATAGGCTCAAAAGTGTCGGGGCACTACACCTGCGCACAGGTAAAGTCAATAGTTTGGGATTGTGGTTAACTGTGTATTGTAGTAAGACGGGAAGTGGTGTGGATGTTACAGTTACGCAAAAAATGTGTATAATTAACGTCATTACTCTTCGCAAATTCGGGCAATAAGTAGAGAAACTGCTATTGATGAAAGCTTGGACATCAGCTATATTAACAAAATGCCAGTAAAGTTTCAAAGCTGAAGAGACAAAAATACTAGAGGGCACCGGGTCGAGAGTAGATATTCGTAGACCTCAACG